GTGGCGCCAAAGTGTCAAGAGTGAAAATGGAGTCTCCAGGAAGGAGCATGCGGCCACTCTCCTCTGGGACATGTATAAATACTATGAGTTGATCGACCTTGATCGACTGCTGGCGCGGTGTTTAAGGTTGAACTTCCCTGTCGCCATGGCCAGATTGGCTGTCAGGGCCTATCGGGCCCCTCGTTTCCTGTCCCTCGGTGGGTGTTTGGACGGTCCTTGGTTTGTCTCCTCGGGGATTGTGGCGGGATGTTCCCTCGCCACTACCCTCATCAGGGTGAACAGCATTGAAGCCCTGGATAGGATCGTTCTCCGCCCCTGCTGCGTCTTGGCCCTGTACATTGATGATGCGGGATTATCGGCTGTTGGTGCCCTCTGTGAGGTGGTTAGTGCTATTGTGGAGGGGGCCCCGCAGCTCCATGAGGCCATCGTCGAAGGTATAGGGGGGAAGGTTGCGCAGGACAAGTCTAGTCTTGCTTGTTCTTCTGCGGCCGTGGGCCGTGCCATTCAGGCTGCTCTTGGAGCTAAGTCTACGGGTCCCATTGCTGACAGTTCTGTCAACTTGGGCATTGATGACACGGGGGGGAAGAGCTTGAGGATTAAGGGGAGGGGAATGAAACTCAAGTCTCGACTTCGGCTCTTTAAGAAGCGTGCCCGCCGTGTTGGCAAACTTCGCTCTGCCCTAGGATCTCGACGCACTCTGAGGGTCTTCATGGCAGGACCTCTCCCAGGTGTGCTCTACGGCAGCGAGGTGCGCGGGGTCGCGGACCACGAGCTCCTCCACCTGCGCCGCTCGGCGGCGAGCACCATCAAACCCTCAGCAGGCCAACGCCCCCTGACGGTCTTGTCTCATCTTGAAGGGGGCCCCGCTTGGATCGGTTCTGTTGCCCCGATTTTGCGATGGCACAAGGAAGTTTGGTGTGCCCAAGTTCGGGCCTTCGAAGGTTCGCTTAGTTTCAGGGAGCTGAGGCTGGCTTGGGAAGGTGTTTTCCTTAGAGAATCTTGCTCATGGCGTGCTGTTGGAGGTCCCGTCGCCGCCATGCGCAAGTCCCTGGAGAGGATCTCCTGGGCGATGAGGGACTTCGCCACCTATGTTACGGACCAAGGGGTGATCCTCTCCCTGACCCTCATCTCTCCCCAGCTCATGCGCCTCCACCTTCGGGCTGCTGTTTGTCGAGGATTGGAGTGGGATGCTGGGGCTAAATGGGATGTTCCTCATCGTCTGTGCTTCGACGTGGTTAAACATTGTCTGCGTAGCAAAAAGTTCTCGGCCTTCGAGAAGGGCTGCATCAGGGCTGCTGCCACTAACGCTGTGTGGACTCGTCAAAAAGCCAGGGACCTTGGGTACGATGTCAGCGTTATGTGCGACAAGTGTGGAACCGCCCCCGACACCCTCCACCACCGCTTGTGGGTCTGCAGGTGCCCAGAAGTCCAGGAGCTTCGTGAGAGCCTCGTGGAGCCAGCAGTCATCCAGAGAGCCTTGCAGGAGCCTGACAGTGTGCTTTCGCGTTTCGGTTCCTTCGCGCATCCTGGGGACTATTTTCCCAAGCCCTCGGGGGAGCCCTCTGGCACATTCTTTGCTCCTGAAGGGCTCCCCCAGGACCCCCAGAGTTTTGATTTCAGCGGGCGCGTTTTCACTGACGGGAGTGCCTCAAAACATGTGGCGCGTGAGCTTTCACGTGCTGGATGGTGCTTCGCAGTGGTTGACCGGTCGGGCGACTTGCGGGCCATGATGTATGGCCCCGTGCCGCCGTCGTACCCGCAGACAGCTCCTGCAGGAGAATTCGCCGCCTTCTGCCAAGCAGTCCTTTTCTCTAATGCGCCGTCGGTTTTTTACACTGACGCGCAGCTGGTCAAGGATCACTTTTCTTTGCAACCCGAGGATCAGTTGTCGCCGAAATGTTGCTACAGTGGTTTCTCGTTGTCTCTTTTGCATGAAATGTGGAAGGTAAAAGCCCTCCACAAAGTCAAAGCGCATCAGTCTCTCGATGAATGGACCTCCGAATTCGATAAGATGTGCCGCTTTGGGAATCATTATGCAGATGTCGGTGCTAAAAAGGCTTCTGGCGGTGAAGGGTATCTTGGTCACCCGCAGCCTTCTGCGGAGGACCGAGATAGGTTGGATCCCGACATCAAATTGTCTCGTGCTGTGTGTCAGCTAGCGGAAAGTGATTCCTAGTTGGCCGCGCCTTGACCTCAGTGAAGTTTCCTGGACTAAGCCGTCGGTCTCTTTTGCTGTGAATTTGCCGTCTACCAGGTGCCAGTGGACGATTATTCAGAATGTACAGTTGGCTTCTTCCCCAGGATTTTGGAAATGCACGGCCTGCGGCAGAGTCAGTCGATCTCCCACCGACGGCCCGCCCCCGTGTGCTCCTCTGTGTCGGCCGATCTCGGGGCTTGAAGCTGGCGCGCTTGAGAAAAGGGGCCACTCTTGTATTACGTTGTCGTGCTCTGACCAGGCCTCGTTGGTTGTGTGCACGACGTGCTTCTGCTACTCTTCTCATGGCAGAGTGGCTGGGCTTGGTGGAAGGTGCGTGGGTCCGACCAGGTCGACTTTTTACAATAATTGGGGGCCCATCCGCAGAGGACGGCACCCCAAACGCCCAGAGGTCAGAGTGGAGCGTGGCCCCTGGGGAAGGCACTCTTTTGGTTTTGTACCAGACGCGGAGGAGGAGGAGGTCCCTGCCCCGTCGTCTGAGCCTCCCCCCACCTCGGCCTCGGAGGAGGAGGAAGCGCGAGAGAGACGCCGTGCGGCCATCGCACGACGTCTCCTGGCTGCGGCGAGCGGTCCACCGAGGGACCCGCCGTCTCTGTCTCAGGCCACTGGCCATGTGTCGCAGGAGGCCTCGCCCGCTCTTCTGGAGTTGAAGGCGAAGGCCCTTTTCGTCTCGAAGCTGCCGCATCGGGATGAGGGCGACTCCAGTTCTGACTAACGCCTGGGGGAGAAGCGGTTGGCCACGGGGAATCCTCCAGCCAGTTGGAGATGTCCATGTGGCGTTCCGCCTTTCCTCTCTTTGCAGGTGTTAGAATTTTGCTGGCTCTGGCCAGCCTGCCTGCCCTAATTGTCTGGGCGGGCTCTCACCTTGGATGTTGATGTCAAAAAATCATCCTCCTCCTCCTCCTCCTCCTCCTCCTCCTCCTCCTCCTCCTCCTCCTCCTCCTCCTCCTCCTCCCCCATCCCATCTGGGGGGGGAGGGGGTGGGCCCGAGGACCCTGGGACGCATCCCATATGGGGGGGGATGGGGGGCCCGTTGGCCCGGAGCCCGCGATCATATATACTGCGCGTTTCGCGCGCGCTGAGGTTCTAGCTGGTCGAGTGCTGGCCGCATTGAGGCAACAAGGCGGTCATGAATAATACAATCAACCTGGTATGTTTCCTCTTGCCTCTTCCCCATTCTTCTCCTCCGCTCTCATCGGCCGGTCGACCGGTGATCTGTCGCCAAGCTTCTTGGGGACCTTTTGACCCCTCCTGGGGGTCTCCTGGGGCGAAGATATCGGATTCTCGGTTCACGTTCCCGATAAGTGGCCTTCGGCCCATCCCGCCACCGTGCTCGGGTTGTGGGCTAGAGTCCTTTTGGAATTTCGTTTGGAATTTGTGGGAGGCTTCCCAGGGGCCTCTTGAAGGCAGTTTTGGAGGCCTCTTGGGGGCCGTTTTGGGTGCTCGTGCGGAGTCTATTTGGGCCCCTTTGGGCCTCGTGGGGCCTCTAGGGGGCCTCTTGGGTTCTGTTGGGAGCCTCTTGGGGCCTCCTGGAGGCCTCTTGGGGCGGAAGGCTCGAATTGACGGTTCGTGTTCCCCCTCTTGGGCCCCTCTTGGGGCCCTCTTGGGCGATCTTGGGTGCATCTTGGGCCGTCTTGGGGCATTATTGGGCCGACTTGGGACTCTCTTGCGCCGTCGTGGCGCCCTCTTTGGGTGCCTCTTGGGCCATCTTGAACTGATTTCTGGGGCCTCGTGGGCTGTTTTGGACAGTCGGAAGCACGAAACAGCGAGAGCACGAAAATCTTCAAAAACCCTTGAAAAAAACCTATTTGCTTCGTCTCCTGAGTGCCTCGTGGGAGTCCTTTTGGGGGCATCTTGGCCGTCTTGAAGCCCTCTTGGACCGTCTTCAAGCCATCTTGGTTCAATTTTGAAACGCTCTTGTGCGGTCTTGGGCTCTCTTGGAGCGCCCACGGGCCATCTTGGCGCCCTCTTGGGCTTCTCTCGACCCCCCTTGACGTGTTTGGGCGCCCCCCGCCTGGCCCGAAACGGCTGGAAAACAAATCCGTGCACTTGTGGGGCCCCGGCCCCCTACCCACACATATATATATATATATGTGTATGTAGGTATATATATATACATATATATATATATGCATACACACACCTATATATATATATATATATATATATATATACACCATAGAGGCACATATAGCGAGCATACATTCACACAACGTATTCATACATATATACACCTACGCAGAAAAAAAGAAAGACTGAGAGAACAACGAATAAGGATAACTATCAACAGAAAGAGAGAGAGAGAGAAACAAAAATTATCCTGGCGAAGGACCCAACCATATGCAATTGTGAATAACGCTTTGTGGGTGCCGCTTTCGGTGGGGCTCCTTATGGGGCCACGAAAAGCGTGCCACGAAACGCTGCCCTGGGCGTACGGGACGCATGAGGGCGGTAGCATTGGGGCTTTCGGTGGAGCTCCCTGTGGGGCCACGAAACGTGTGAGGGGTGTGCCGAAATGGGCGCGGCGCCGCATCGAATCGGCCTTCGACTACCCAGGCTGGTGTCTCGAAATCCTCCTGGGACAGCGCTTCACGACAATGTCGAGTGCGATTCGCCGACATCGCCACATCACATCACGCTCACGTGCACAATCACACTACTCACTAGACTCCGCCCCACAGGCATCGTCAGAACAACAATCACCACTGTTCCCCATTGCTGCCCCCCCAACTTCCTCATCACCCGCAGGATGGTCGTATAGGTAGATATACGATATACACTGGTAGAGACGCATCGCTTGGCGCATACCCGCCTGGTAAGTAATCCAAGGGTGCGCACACAAAGCGTAGCGAAATTCCTCGCTGCCCCTGGAGTGAAAAGAGTGAACAACAGGACATGACATTGATATTTTCCGACGGAGACGCATCAGCCTGGCGCGCACTTATCTGGTCGATTGCCCAAGGATGTGCGCGCAAGGTGGAGAGGCCAGCTCTTGGAAGTGAAGAAATGCATCAAATTCACTGCAGCCTGACGCGCCTTTCGCGCGAGCGGCAGACATACTGAGGCGCCGACCAAGAGCATTCGAACGCCAACAATGAAACTCCGCCGCCCTGTCGCAGGCACGTTGGGGCCATGTGAGAGCGCTTGGATGGTTGGGAAAAAACGTGGCTTCCGAAGCCAAAGGTGAGTAGCCTGATGATACAGGCTCCGCGTCGTGCTAAACACGGTGCGCCGACTCGTGCTCATCGATCTCCGCGTCCTGCTCCGACTAGTTGACCTCAACCTCCGCGTTGTGAATGCCGCGCTGGGGTGTTGGGCCCCTGCCACGGCCAGGACACCCGAGCCCCATAATCAGGCAGCCCAGCGCGACGCCGCAGACCAAGAACAAGATCAACAAGAAGAAGATCAAGACACCAGCGAAGACTGCAATTAATCCCCATGGCTCGGTGGTGGCTGTGGTGTTTGACGTGTCCGAACTCGTGCCCGTACCGGCCGTCTTGGTGGTCGTCGCGGTGGTCGTCTCAGTTGTTGTCTCGGTGGTTGTCTTGATGATGGTAGTAGTGCTTGACGTCGCGGAACTCGTGCCCGTATCGGTGGTCGTCGTGGCCGTCTTGGTGGTCGTCGCGGTGGTTGCCTCGGTGAAGTCGAACACGTACGCGGAGCCTGAATTGTAGCCCTGGTCGTCGTCATAGTAGGCCCCCACCACCACGCGGGCCCCGTCGGAGCTCACGGCCACCGAGGAACCGAACAAGTCGAGTTCGGCCCCATCACTCGCCACAAGCTTCAGCAGCCTCTCGCCGGTGGCCCCGTCGAGCACGTACACGGAGCCGGAACCTTCGCCCTGGTCGTCGTCAAATGTGCTCCCCACCACCACGCGGGCCCCGTCGGAGCTCACGGCCACCGAGTGACCGAACCAGTCGTAAGCAGTCCCATCACTCGCCACAAGCTTCAGCAGCCTCTCGCCGGTGGCCCCGTCGAGCACGTACACGGAGCCGGAATTGTCCAAACTGGTCGTCGTCGCGGTGGGCCCCCACCACCACGCGGGCCCCGTCGGAGCTCACGGCCACCGAGAAACCGAAACGGTCGTCTGCAGCCCCATCACTCGCCACAAGCTTCAGCAGCCTCTCGCCGGTGGCCCCGTCGAGCACGTACACGGAGCCGGAAAGGGAGCCGTCACCATAGGCCCCCACCACCACGCGGGCCCCGTCGGAGCTCACGGCCACCGAGGAACCGAAAAAGTCGCCTGCGGCCCCATCACTCGCCACAAGCTTCAGCAGCCTCTCGCCGGTGGCCCCGTCCAACACGTACGCGGAGCCTGAATTGAAGCCCTGGTCGTTGTCATATCTGCTCCCCACCACCACACGGGCCCCGTCGGAGCTCACGGCCACCGAGAAACCGAAACGGTCGCCTGCGGCCCCATCACTCGCCACAAGCTTCAGCAGCCTCTCGCCGGTGGCCCCGTCGAACACGGACGCGGAGCCTGAATTGTAGCCCTGGTCGTTGTCCACATCGTTTCCCACCACCACGCGGGCCCCGTCGGAGCTCACGGCCACCGAGATTCCGAAACGGTCGTAAGCAGTCCCATCACCCGCCACAAGCTTCAGCAGACTCTCGCCGGTGGCCCCGTCGAGCACGTACGCGGAGCCATGAACAGTGGTTTCGTAGTCTGCGTAGTAGTAGTAAACGGCCCCCACCACCACGCGGGCCGCGTCGGAGCTCACGGCCACCGACATTCCGAACCTGTCGTTGTCGACCCCATCACCCGCCAAGAGCTTGAGCAACTGCGCGCCGCTGGTAGACAGGCGCCTCCCGAACTCGGCCTGCGGCTCGCGAGGGCGACCGCTCGCCGAGCCCTCCACCCTCGGGCGGGACAGCGTCCCGCTCGCCGGCGACCCAGCGCTCGGGGCGCCGCGCGCTGCCAGCAGCAAGAGCAGCGCGCCGACGCTGTGAGACGTGCGCAGGCGCATCATGCCGTCTGCAGAAATGCAGAGCTGAGCGGAACGAGAGACGCCAGAGGGGAGCCCTGGGAGGCCGGCGACGGCCCCTCGAAACCTTGAGCCAAAATTGCGACCAGCCCCGATGGCTTGCCCAAGACATTCCTTGTTCGGATTCACCGTCATCATATGGTTACAGCATCACCATTGCTCTTCACTTTTACACTGGAATTCCTTGGTGATGCTTTCCGAAGGATTCCTTGTGTGAGGCTTTTAAATATAATCCCTTTGTGGTGCTTTCCAAAGGATTTGTTTTTGCGAGGCTTTCCAATAGAATATTTTCGTGGTGCTTTCCAAAGGATTCCTGCTGTGAGGCTTTCCAATCGAATCCCTTTGTTGCGCTTTCCAAAGGATTCCTTTTGTGAGGTTGTCCAATCGTATCCTTTTGTAGTGCCTTCCAAAGGGTTCCCTTTATGAGGCTTTCCAGTAGAATCACTTTGTGATGCAGAGGAGGCGGAGGAGGAGGAGGCGGAGGAGGAGGAGGAGGAGAAAAGAGATCTATATATATAGAGAGAGAGAAAGAGAGAAAGAGAGCGAAAGAGAGATAGAGAGAGAAAGAGAGAACGAAGAAGAGTGGAGGAGGATGAAGACGAGGAGGAGATATGTATGATCATGTGGGTGGGGGGGTAGATCGCCCCCCACCACATGATCATACATATCTCCTCTTCCTCCTCCTCCTCATCCTCCTCCGCTCTTCTTCGTTCTCTCTCTCTCTCGCTTTCTCTATCTCTCTCTCTCTCTCTCTTTCTCTCTCTCTCTCTCTTCTCTTTGTCCTCCTCCTCAAAGAATCCTTTGGAAAGCACCACAAGGGGATTCGATTGGAAAGCCCCATAAAAGGGGAATCCTTTGGAAAACGCTACAAGGGGATTCGATTGGAAAACCTCAAATTAGGAATCCATTGGAAAACACCACAAGGGGATTCTATTGGAAAGCCTCACAAAAGGAATCCCGTGGAAAGCACACAAAAGGATTCGATTGGAAAGCCTCACAAAAAGGAATTCTTTGGAAAGCGCAGCAAAGAGATTCGATTGGAAAACCTCACAAAAGGAATCCTTTGGAAAGCACAACAAAGGGATTAGATTGGAAAGCCTCGCAAAAAGGGAATCCTTTAGAAAACACCACAAAGGGATTCGATTGGAAAGCCTGACAAAGGGATTCGATTGGAAAGCCTCACATAAGGAATCCTTTGGAAAGCACCGCAGAAGGATCATATTGGAAAGCCTCACAAAAGGAATCCGTTGGAAAACATAAAAAGGTCCCGGGGACCCAGACCTCCGACATCGCGAAAAAATCACGACAAAAGTTTTCGCAGTTTTCGGCCTCCGGAGGCCCTCGGAGGGCCCCAGGAGCGAAAAAAAACGACTCAGATTGAAAATTGTCGCAGTTTTCGGCCTCCGGAGGCCCTCGGAGGACCCCAGGAGCGAAAAAAAAAAAAAAACACTCAGGATGAAAAACCGGTCCCGGGAAAAGGGTCGGGACTTCCGGGGGCCGAGGAAGAGGTCTGCTGGACCAGATCACGATCTAGTCTAAAGAGGAGGAGGAGTGGGCGGAGGAGGAGGAGGAGAGAGGGGAGGAGGAAGAGGGAGAGCCTGCCTACCGCGGCCGCTTGCGAGCGCGCCCTTGGGGCGCGCTCGGCGTCGTCGCCGCCGACGGCGGCCCGGGCGTCGCCGCTGCCGGCGGCGGCAACCCCAGCGCCGCCGCCGCCGTCGCTGCCCCGACCGTCCTGCCCACGAAACGTGTGAGGGGTGTGCCGAAATGGGTGTGCGGGACGCATGCGGACGGCAGCCATGGGGCCTTCGGTGGAGCTCCCTATGGGGCCACGAAACGTGTGAGGGGTGTGCCGAAATGGGTGTGCGGGACGCATGCGGACGGCAGCACTGGGGCCTTCGGTGGAGCTCCCTGTGGGGCCACGAAACGTGTGAGGGGTGTGCCGAAATGGGTGTGCGGGACGCATGCGGACGGCAGCCATGGGGCCTTCGGTGGAGCTCCCTATGGGGCCACGAAACGTGTGAGGGGTGTGCCGAAATGGGTGTGCGGTGGAGCGCCATGCGACGGCAGCACTGGGGCCTTCGGTGGAGCTCCCTGTGGGGCCACGAAACGTGTGAGGGGTGTGCCGAAATGGGTGTGCGGGACGCATGCGGACGGCAGCCATGGGGCCTTCGGTGGAGCTCCCTATGGGGCCACGAAACGTGTGAGGGGTGTGCCGAAATGGGTGTGCGGGACGCATGCGGACGGCAGCACTGGGGCCTTCGGTGGAGCTCCCTGTGGGGCCACGAAACGTGTGAGGGGTGTGCCGAAATGGGTGTGCGGGACGCATGCGGACGGCAGCCATGGGGCCTTCGGTGGAGCTCCCTATGGGGCCACGAAACGTGTGAGGGGTGTGCCGAAATGGGTGTGCGGGACGCATGCGGACGGCAGCACTGGGGCCTTCGGTGGAGCTCCCTGTGGGGCCACGAAACGTGTGAGGGGTGTGCCGAAATGGGTGTGCGGGACGCATGCGGACGGCAGCCATGGGGCCTTCGGTGGAGCTCCCTATGGGGCCACGAAACGTGTGAGGGGTGTGCCGAAATGGGTGTGCGGGACGCATGCGGACGGCAGCACTGGGGCCTTCGGTGGAGCTCCCTGTGGGGCCACGAAACGTGTGAGGGGTGTGCCGAAATGGGTGTGCGGGACGCATGCGGACGGCAGCCATGGGGCCTTCGGTGGAGCTCCCTATGGGGCCACGAAACGTGTGAGGGGTGTGCCGAAATGGGTGTGCGGGACGCATGCGGACGGCAGCACTGGGGCCTTCGGTGGAGCTCCCTGTGGGGCCACGAAACGTGTGAGGGGTGTGCCGAAATGGGTGTGCGGGACGCATGCGGACGGCAGCATGGGGCCTGCCTTTCGGTGGAGCTCCCTGTGGGGCCACGAAACGTGTGAGGGGTGTGCCGAAATGGGTGTGCGGGACGCATGCGGACGGCAGCCATGGGGCCTTCGGTGGAGCTCCCTATGGGGCCACGAAACGTGTGAGGGGTGTGCCGAAATGGGTGTGCGGGACGCATGCGGACGGCAGCACTGGGGCCTTCGGTGGAGCTCCCTGTGGGGCCACGAAACGTGTGAGGGGTGTGCCGAAATGGGTGTGCGGGACGCATGCGGACGGCAGCCATGGGGCCTTCGGTGGAGCTCCCTGTGGGGCCACGAAACGTGTGAGGGGTGTGCCGAAATGGGTGTGCGGGACGCATGCGGACGGCAGCACTGGGGCCTTCGGTGGAGCTCCCTGTGGGGCCACGAAACGTGTGAGGGGTGTGCCGAAATGGGTGTGCGGGACGCATGCGGACGGCAGCCATGGGGCCTTCGGTGGAGCTCCCTATGGGGCCACGAAACGTGTGAGGGGTGTGCCGAAATGGGTGTGCGGGACGCATGCGGACGGCAGCACTGGGGCCTTCGGTGGAGCTCCCTGTGGGGCCACGAAACGTGTGAGGGGTGTGCCGAAATGGGTGTGCGGGACGCATGCTGACGGCAGCCATGGGGCCTTCGGTGGAGCTCCCTATGGGGCCACGAAACGTGTGAGGGGTGTGCCGAAGTGGGTGATGACGATGACGATGACGACGATGACAATGACGATGATGATGATGATGATGATGATGATGATGATGATGATGATGATGATGATGATGATGATGATGATGATGATGATGATGATGATGATGATGATGATGGATGATGAGGAGGGGAGAGGAGGCGGAGGAGGAGAGGAGGAGGAGACGCGGGGACCGTTTCTTCAAAACGAGGACCCAACACCACAGGATGGTTGGGAAAAAAACATGGCAAAAACTACACTGAGAGAGGGGGAAACAAAACAAAAGAGAGAGGGATAACCTGAGAAATAGGGAATGGAACTATGCGAACAAAAACGGAGGGAACCGGGGGGACGGAGAGAAACGGGCGGGCAAACGCCGCCTGCGCCAGCCCTTGCGGGCAGCCCGCCAGCGCGAGCCCGTCCGCCTGCGCCAGCTTCTCGACCGGCCAGGCGAGCGCCGCCCAACTCAACTCCTGGGAGGGGACAGCAGATGTCCTCCTCCGCCTCAACTGGGACGCAACCGGTCATGCTAGTACTATGCGTTCGCTTCGGCGGCACACGTCCGAACCACACTACAAATATCCACGCATTTTACGACATCATCACCCAAGCGGCCCGGCCAAGAAGCGATGGCCACTGAAAACATACTGAGAGATTTCTAAGCGCACGTCGTCCACGGGGGGCTGGCGCTCACATAGTACAGATGCATTATTGGTGTTGTCAGGCCGCGCTGACGCGCGGGCACTTCAGTGCGAGTCGGTGGTTTGGGCGGGCGCGGTATCATGGCGACGTCGACAACGGTAGACAAGGTGATGGTAATGAAAATGATGGCGACGATGATGACGGCAAGGCCAATGACGGCGCCCATGCTGACCACGCCGATGACGATGATGGTGTCCTCGCGTCGGTGATGGATGTTTTCGAACGGATTCCGACATGCGCGCGCAGCCGACGTGCGAGAGTGGCCTTATTTCACACTCATCGACACCCCACCACGCGCGCAAGCGCGTTCAAATGGTTTCGGCATACGCGCGCGAAACGCCCGCTTGGTCGCATGTGATGACAATTATGATGGACCGATGGTTTTCTGGAAAAGTCGCAAGAACGCGCGGGCAGACTGTTTCGATAACTGACGTTGCAAACCATGTGCTTCTTTATTTGTAATTTGTTTCGGGGCCTTTAATTCTCAACAGTTGCCAACTGTATGGTGTTTGATGGGTTTCGGCATGCGCGCGCGACGACGCGCGCGTGTGCCTGCAGCCCTTTCACTTGCTGCCAGGGATTATCGTAAACGTGCGATTGTTGATATAAACGGGTGTGCACGCGCATGGTGTTTTTTTTTGCAGACACGATGCTGGAGGGTGTCGTCGCCAGCCTGGCTAGTAAGGTATAACTGTGTATTTCGAATGAGCAGTGGCGCAACATCTCATGTACAATGAAACTCCCCATGGCGGGCGCATAATCTCCAGGGGTCGGAGGGGGAGATCCGTTGTTTGCGTGCATCCCCGCATTTTTCTATGTGTATATAATGTGGGATATGTCGTGCCAGAAATGCGAAGAAAGATATATGGCGCAATCTAAATGGTGCGTTGCTCAACAAAGACTGTATTGCACACGGTGTACAATCGAAGATGCCCAACCGATGGTGTTCAATCTCAGCTGCGCAATCTACGTGGTGCAATTTCTTTGCACAAACGAGTTGTCACATCCCATGCCCTTGCAAACGCCCCATCCGCCCACCAGCAAGTTGGCTTGCAAATCCCACGCGGCGGCGATTGCGATGAGTGCTTGGCGTTGGCTGGTACATCTCTGCGGCCGCGCCAATCCAAACGCGCGGGCGCAGCAGCCGGCTAGTTTGGCGCGACCGACGCGGCCGCGGTGGGGCTGACCACTTCAGCGCATCCCAACGGGAAGTCCAATGCGAGTCGGCGACTTGGGCATGCGCGGAATCATGGCAACGTCAACAAGGGTAGACGCGATGAAGATGGTAGCGATGCCGGCGACGATGTTGGCAACGACGACGGCGCGGCCACTGACTGCGCAGGTGATGATCGCGGCGGCGACGATGTCGGCGTCCTCGCGTCGGTGATGAAGGTTTCGGAAACGAGTTCGACATGCGCTCGCGGCCGACGCGCGAAAGTGGCCCGCATGGTATTACGGTATTATTTGAAACGGATCACGCCCCCGCCCCCCCCCCCCCCGAGCGCGCAAGGGCGCGCGAATGATTTCGGCATGCGGCGCGAGAGGACCGCTTGGCATAATTCAATGGACATGTTCAAAAACCCATGGTATCATCTTGTTTCAAAAATCGCAAGACCGCGAGCGCAAGTTCTCTGTTGAAAGCATATGCTGCGAAACCATATGCTTGCATCGGTTGTTTGGGACACTCGGTTTTGATCGTTGCGCGACGTGGATTTCGGCATGCGCGCGCGGCGACGCGCGCGCACTTCGCCCCATGCTATACACAATATTCACGAGTCAGCACGCGCGCAAGGGCGTTCGAACGACTTCGACATGCGAACGCGAAGCCTTTTTGGTACCAATTTCTGTGACAAGCCAACCGTGTTCTTGAGAATTCGCAGAAACGCGCGCCCTTTTTTAAATCACAGCCCCTGTTGCGAAACCCTTTCTCTTTGTTAAAACATGAAATTTGAACACTGGATAGTGAAACCCTTAGGACACCGCAGGTTTGTAACGATGTCGGCACGCGCCCGCGGCATCGCGCGCGTGCGTATTTCGTCCAATGCGTAGAAAGGGAGTCGTGCAAACTCATGATTTGAAACGAGCGCGCATAATACTTTTTCTGTGCAAGAAGATAGCGGGGGGAAGACATGTCAGCCCGGCTGGGATGGTATGAGTTCGAAAAGAAATGAACGAAGAGGCGTAGTCATATGTAAATTACAACACGCGAGGCCGAGTGGATCACCCCGGGGTAGTGGTGGGGTGGGCTCCAACTTTTAAGAAACGAGAGATTTGTTCGCGCTGTGTGCGTGGTGCAATCTATGTTGGGCACTCTGAGTGGAGCAACCGATGCGTCGATGACGAGGCGGCGACTGGGCGGCGACGGCGCCAAAATAGCCGCCAAAACAATAGAGCGCGGCGACGGGGCGGCGACGGCGGCAACATAGCGGCCGGGTCGGCAGACAAGCCCGAACGACGCGCGGCGACGCGGCGGTGACGGGGCGGCGACGGCGGTAACATAGCCGCAAGACCGCAGACAGGCCCAGACGACGGGCGGCGACGAGGCGGCAACGGGGCGGCGGGAGGCGGCAGCGACGGTAGCAACAGAACTGCCAAATCGGCAGACAGGCCCAGACGACGGGCAGCGACGAGGCGGCGACGGCGGCGACATAGCTTCCAGAGCGGCAGACACGCCCAGATCGGCATAAGAGATGCATTAACCCCTACATGCAAGCATTGATTTGGGAATGTGCAGCCAGTTCTTAGATTGACCAATGCGCGCTGTGTGCGCGTGTGTGTGTGTGTGTGTGTGTGTGTGTGTCAAGTAAAGTATGTGTATGTGTATGTGTGTGCTCGGTGCGCATGCGTTTTGAATGCAGTGTGGATGCGTGTGTGTCGAGAAACTGATTCACAACCGTGCGCTAACAAATCTGCACCGCGTGACGTTGTCAATTCCGCCCCTCGCAACCCCCCCAGGAGGTAAAAGCATGGGGCGGTGTCGCTCGCCTTGAATATGTCGCATTCGCGTCCGAATATGGATGGGTCCACTTCTGAAACAAGCAAGTCTGCGGGCGACTGCCCCTGACCCAGACGAGCGTGAGATGCCCGCCCGCGCGTGCGACAGGCAACGCCGCAACTCTTATACGGACAAGAAAAACGGGCAGGGGAGCGAGGGGCCAAGGAGCGAGGAAGGGGGGGGGGGGGCGGAGGGAGGGCGATAGGAAAGGGCAGACCAGGCCGACAGACAGACGGACGGACGGAGAGGGGAAGCCACGCAGGAGGGGAGAGGGGGAACACGCGCGCGAAGGCCAAGAAACACAAGGGCAAGGAGAGGACGCGGAGAGGGCGAGGGGAGAGGGGGGAGCCAAGAGCCACAGACAAGGCAAGGAATGATGGACGCACAAGGGGACAGCGGGCAGGAAATGGGGAGGAGGCCCGCGGAGCAGCGAAGGGGGCACTTCCCCGGCGCGCCCGGGATCATGTGGCGGGGCGCTGCGCCAAATCACTGCGTCAGAACAGGGGGAAGACAGAGGAGCGAGAGGAGGAACTCTCGCTCTCATCCATTCAGTTCAATGTCTCATCACTCTCAATCTCACAGACCCTGGGGGGGGGGTGCAGCTTTTCTGTGCCCCCATTCATCTTGCTAGCTCGAGGGGCCACGCGCGCTGGCAGATGCAACAGTTAATTGCCTGCGCGGGGGCCTAGCCGTTGAACTCAGCGGGCAGGGCGCAAGATCGAAAGAGGGATAAAGCCTGCCGTTTTTCTCAAACCTCAAATCATCATACCAATCAGTACGATCAGCCAACACATGAGGGCCGAGCTGCGGAGCCTAAAGGAAGTTGGAGGCGAGGGCGTGGGCGTCGCACGCGATCGCGCGAAGAAGAACGGCCCGATCCGCAAAGCACAAAGCCAGATCCACCCCGTTACGCGCGCGGCGTAGGCTGAGATCCTGGAGGAGGCACGTGACGCACAGAGCCTCGGATGGAGTCTGTGCCGACTCCGCGTCTCACGATAAGTCGGACTCCTGCCCCGCGGGCCTCGGCCGCTAGGCCTCGGCCTGGGCGAGGCCCCAGGAGCGCAGAACCAGAAACAGCCAGCATAACGGGGAGCGGCGACAATGCGGCGCTCGATGGCGGTTGCCTCGATAGCATGTGAGACCAACAAATATGCAACATAACGGAACCATGGCATCTCTGACGCGAACTACTTCTTCATGATTTCCGCGCGGCATTGCCACGCGGTGCTCTGCTGGAGGTGATGCTACCTCCTGCTGCACTTATCAACTCGCCCACTATCGATTCAACCTCCACCATCTGGCTTTTCGACCCGTAGAAGCTCGTTAGCATCTCCAAGGGTGTCTGCTGGTATACCAAATCATCAGGCTACTCTATCGCTTTGAGCAGGTATGTTGCCTGGTTGCCCTCTTCTGGCACCAGCGCTGGTCCGCGCAAGCTCGACAATAGGCGCGACTGCTTGGGCTTGCTGGGCCGGCCGAAGCACGGGGGCACGACTGCTCCTCGTTCCCACTGGCCCGCGAAATCGCGCCTGTCTTTTCAATTATTGTCGGCGGCCTGACGGCCGCGAGCTTGGACCGCGAAATTTGCACCGAAGTGCCCAGAGACTGCCAACTCCCTAAGGCGGCGAGGAGCGCGTAGATGGACTGGAAGGCTGGCGATCCAAGTTTCGTTGTGGGGCCCTGCTTGCGTTCTTGGGCGTGCCCCGCGTAAGATTTGTTCACGCCCACTACGGTTCGAAGTGGCCTCGTGCTTCAGCACTCGAACCCTCGCCTCCA